AAAGTTTTAAAACACAAACTGCTGGGCAGATAATACTGCATGTTACATAGTTATACTGGTGTTAGATTAGCCATTAACACAATCTGACTCCATCCATGAAGCAGCTATCAGGAAGGTAAATGCATAGGGCTAATAGAAAGTAATAATTGCAAAAAATATTCCACATACACACTCTAGCCAAGCGTTCTGTATACAAACCTGACGATATGGGTAATTTCCCATGGGCCTAAACCTAAACTTTACTACACAAAACAAAAGAGAAAGGAGGCTTCCGTCTACTAATCATTTTCTTACTTAAAAACCTGTCAACCTAAAGTTGTATTTTCCATGTAAGACTTAGCTAAAAATATATGCTATAGAAGATTTGGTGATGTGCCAGAAATTATGTCAGTGTTCTCCAGCGGCAACCTTCTTAGCACATAGCAATTTCTTTTATATCAAACTGTATTTCTTTGGCTACAATCAAGCTAGACTAGTTTTTGTTTACAGTCTGATCACTTGTTGTGGTTTTGTTTGAAGGAAAGCACCTCTGCATGAAATCGGACTAAAACAATAAAAATCACTGTTTTGTAGACATACCCCAATATAGACAATTATGCATTTATTTTGTTTTGGATATATCTAAAAACAGATTGCAAAAGCTGCAGATCTCTTGTCTGCAGCATTTGAAAGCCTTCCTCTTCTAAACCCGCCCAGAATTTAGGTGACTGTCCAATCACAGACTTCCCAATGCAGCTCATTGAGAAGTTTTTGCAAGGCAGGTGTTCTGGGCAATTGCTGCCTCCTGAGTGTAGCTCCACTGAGCTAACCAAACCAGGAAGCAGTATGACCAGTTGTCTGATTGTCAGCCAGGGTCTAACAAAGTTAATTTATAAAAGTGCCAGTTTCTATTGTCAATCACAGATTTTTTTATTTAATTGTAATTATTACAGCTACATTAAATGTATTTGTGTGAGGGGCAAATAAGGCCGTAAAGGAAATAAAAGGAGGGAATAAGTCGGTTGTGGTGTGCCAGAACCGACGTCGTGGTAGGCCTGTAATAAAAGAGGGCCCACCCATGAGGTGTAATGAAAAGTATAAATAAAGGGAGTGGAGGGTGGGGACATGCGAATCGCCAAAAACGAACGGTACTGAGGAAGGTGAGGAGGGGGTTTAAGTAGGTTAACATGCCCCTCCCACAACTGCAGGCCAAGCCTTCACATTTGTGTGAGGGGCAAATAAGGCCGTAAAGGAAATAAAAGGGGGGAATAAGTCGGTTGTGGTGTGCCGGAACCGACGTCGTGGTAGGCCTGTAATAAAAGTGGGCAAAAAGGAAACCTGTAGAAAGCAATCAACAACGTTAAATAGCCTATCTGTATGGTAACAGCTGAGTGAGTAATGAGGTGCCCGGCGCTTTCAACGGCCCTCTAACTTGTGCAAGGGGAAGTAAGTAAAAACATGTTGGCCATCTAGCGTAGACTAGTTGTGGGGTAAAGAAGGTAATCAATAGACTGCATGAATAGATGAGATTTCCTGAGACAATGCTGCAAAAAGACGTGGTGACTGTGGGAGATATGTGTGTCCACGAGAAACTGTGTAGCGGCTTGACAACTAGACCACCTAGTAACCTAGCTGAAAAAGACTAGCATCCCCCAATTCCGGCCTACTTCACATCTGTGATTAAACGGTTGATCCAAAAGAAGGTGAAAAACACAGTTTGATGCGCTTTCCAATTTGCAACACGCTAGGGAAAAAAATATTCCTTTTTGACCCCAGAATGGCAGTCGGATTTATCCTTGGATCAAGCAGATATTGCCCTACATTGAAAGTTGATGCCCGGTCGTGATGAGAAGTATTAACTAGGTCTGATAGTGATTGTAAAACTTGGGTGTAGATGGGAAATCTGGAGATTGAAAAATTCCCAGAACCTGAACCCTTGAGTATGGTAATAAACTGGTATGACGACATGGAAAAGCGTGTGACTAGAAACCTGTACGACATGTGAAGTTATAGACCGGATAGGTAGAGTTGATGCAAGTAAGAGGTGGCAAAAGAAGTGAAAGTCAATCGCGGACAACATATCAACAGAGACAGTACACGTTATATGTGAGACAGGAACCTCGAAGGGGAAGAAGGTCTGAAACACAGGCACTGCAAGTGCTAGAAAGATGAGAGCCAGATGTGAAAGATGGCAATCACGAGCCTACAAGGCTGGCAGCCCGCGAACAAGCCCAGAAAAACGTCGGGAATGGTAGCAGCTGCGGGAGAGGCCATAGGCAGGGCCACATTAGAAAGCATAAAGGAGGCACAGAACTGATCCCACGAAAGAGGTGCGGGAAGACCGGTTCGGATCCAGCCAAAGTGTCAGATGCAAGTTACCCAAACTGCCATCCGACACTGCCCCATAGCCGACAGCAGCGATACCCGTGTAGGTGGACAGACACTGAGAGAACAGCTGACTGGAAGGCTGCTGTGGGGGGGGAATAAGTTGACTCGCGAGAACCGCAGGGAATCGAGGAAGCGCCCAGTACCTGAAAAAAAAATAAAAAAGATGGTAGGCATAGCCAAAACTCCACAGGGCGATGAGAACCAGACCCAGACCTTCTAGAAAAAGAGACGAAGAAAAAACGCGCATAAGCAACCCAACATCCGCGTGAAAAGAGTGTATGTGTGCAAGCTGGCATACTAGCTAATGCCAAAAGGCGAAACAATTAAAACTAGGTTTGGTGACAGGTGAGGCCCTGCTAGATGCCAAGCAGCATGAGAGGTTCTATCTATGCATTGGCGCGGGGGGATAGCGTGGCCACTGAATGTTGTGGCGGGGTGTCAGCCTCTCGTGACAGTTAAACATAAGATTGAGTGGGAGTGACAGGTGAGGCCCTCTCTATGCCACAGTGCGAGGCGACTAACTATGAGTTGGCCCGAGGGGGCGTAGAACCTTTGAATATGAGGATGGGTGTTGGCCTCGCAGGACCACTAACCTAAGGCGAAGAAGCCAGGGGGGGAATTACAAACTAGTGGACACCTAGGACCGTGACAGCCAGCCACAGCTAACTAAGAGGGGAGGGAAGGCAGTGTGAGAGGACAGATGTGCCGAAACGTGTATTGAAACCTGTGAGGGTGAACGAGGAAAAACCGTAGTGCCGACCGTAACCGAAATCAGAGTAAGCACGACAGAGACCAGGCGGACAGGCAGTAGGTAACAGAAACTGTGGTGGTGTAAACCCCATGGGGGTTACGAGACCCAGTGAGAGTGTGTGTGTGTGTGTGTGAGCACTGGCATACTAGCAAAGCCAAAAAGGTGAAACAATTAAACTTGGTTTGGTGACAGGTGAGGCCCTGCTAGAAGCCAAGTGGAGTGAGAGGCTCTATCTATGCGTTGGCAAGAGGGGATAGCGTGGCCACTAAAACGTTGTGGCAGGGTGTCGGCCTCTCGGTGACAGTTAAACATACGATAGAGTGGGAGTGAGGCCCTCTCTATGCAACAGTGCGTGGCGACTAACTATGAGTTGGCACAAGGGGCGTAGTACCTCAGAGTGCGAGGATGGGTATTGGCCTCATGGGACCACTAACCTAGGCAAAGAAGCCAGGGGAATTACAGCTAGTGGACACCTAGGACCCTGACAGCCAGCAACAGCTAACTAAGAGGGGAGGGCAAAGAGTGAGAGAGGGGACGTTCTGTGTGAAAGAAAAAGAAGAGGGGGCGGGGAACGAGGAAGAAGCGTAGGGCAGAGTGAGCCCGACAGAGTCCAGGTGTACAGGCTGATATGGAAGCACGCATGGGAAAAAGAAAAACGCATGAGCGTGTACAATCCACGGGGATCATAAGGGCCAGATCGTGCCCGGTAACAAAACCTAACGCTCCTACTGTTAAAAACATAGCACGGGTATAGCGGGCAGACGCAACCCAGCCGGGCAAAAACGGAAGAAAAAACTCGGGTCAAACCCTGTAGCGGGACCGCAACCTCACGAAAACCAGAACTACATAGCTCAAGACTGTGTATTGAAGCAGCAGGAAAGGAGAACTCGAACGAGACACCCCTGGCCATTTTTTTTTTTTAATTTCTTTTTTTCTTTTTTTTTCTTATTATTTATTTTAAGAATACAATGACACACGCCATCTAACCGAGCCTATCCTCAGGGACACGAAGAAGAGAGAGACGTACATGAGATGGCATGTGTCCATGCTGTAACCTGGCTCTACCAAACCCAAGTAAGGTTCAGGCATTGATTCGCCCTATGCCAAAAACGGCCAAAGATATAGCAATTGATCCAGCGGAAGATGCCATGTAGAGGAACCCTAGATCAGTACCTTCAGAGGTTCTAGGTACACCCTGCGCCCCCAAACCTTACCGCACATAGAAACCTACATGTAAAGTCACCCAGGTAAAATGTCCCTGAGAGGTGTACTACATGTCCAGTAGGTGTAAGGGGAAGCCCACTAGGGAACTGTGCTGCCTGGGAGCAGTGATATGTATAATGGGTTAATAAACGTGCAGAGCCAGTGTGGCCTCAGAACCCCCCCCATCCCCTCTGTTAATCCCTGCTCCCTGAGCCTCATTAGGACTGAAAGAGACTCGCCAGCCTGCTAGTAAGACAAGAAAGACTCACACCAGATAGCACATAAAAGCAACATACATGCAATTAGAAACAGCACAGATATCTGCATAAATTGCAAGCATGTCAGCTTTTCCCAAGGGAAAATCTGACTCCTGCAGTAAGGTAACCAGTGAGCTGGGAATAGCATAGTAGAAAGCAGGTAACTATTCACATACACTGTTTTTATCCCACCCTGTTACCAGCAACTTCAAGCCCTAAGTGAGAAAAGGAAGTTGAGCAGTTACGTCCAAGACAAAAACAGTATATGAAAAACCAGGTACCAACATTACTTCACCACCATATTTGCAGGAGCCAGAGATATTTTGCCTGGCAGGGCCAGCCTAAATCTGATGCAAGGACTCTTCATATACAGACGAGCTATGCATAAGCATTCTACCTCACCCAAACCCTGCACCCGACACATGCTTGCGTGGCCGCATGGACGTGCGATCGTCGGCGAGTGCAGACGCGAAACTTGCGACAGCGCTGCCGGCAGCGAGGGGGCTGACAGCCAAGAACGCCTGAGAGAGAGACGCGGCACACCGAGCCGCCAGCGGAGACGAGCAGCGCCGCAGCAGAGCCGCCCCCCCAAAGAGACCCAAGAAAAGACTCAGAAATATGGAGACCCAACGTTTGGAGCGCCAGAGAAGAGCCCAGGAGGACCGCAGACCAACGAGCAGAAGAGGAAATGGCAGGCCAGGACAATGGAGCCATGAGGAACAGGAAAGGAGAGGAAGGACGACCCGACATGCAAATCGCCAAAAAACGAGCGGGACTGAGGAAGGTGAAGAGGAGGTTTAAGTAGGTTAACATGCCCCTCCCACAACTGCAGGCCAAGCCTTCACATTTATTAAAACTTCCGACATTGGTTTTCAATAAATAGTACTGTTTAAAAGATATTCAAAGCAAAACTCTTATCCACAAAACATATGGATGAAGAGGTCTGCATCACTGAGCTAACAAAATCTCAAAGCTTTTGTAAAAATTAAAATATATTTTCCAGTAACTTGCTTCTTCTGCTTCCAACATTACATGGGTGTATTGGAACTGCAGGATGCCACACATTCAAATACATTTGGATGTCGGCTGAAAACTGTATTTGTTGTTTACAAAGTTATGCCCAAGGGAAAAAAAATAACATTAAAACAAAATGTAATCTGCGCGAAAACCTTGTCAGTACACAGATTATACTGTGTACATCTTGAAGTAATATTAAATCCTTTTGAATGAGAGGAACACTTTTTTAATTAATGGCAAAATACTTCACAGTACAATGTAACTCACCTGTTGTAACGGACCGTTTCAAGGGGTTAAAACCGTTTAGGCGATATTCCCCTTTTCAGAGGCACAGGCACAGCTACTGCAGAACACCAAACTCCCGAACTCAATACAAGGGAATGCTTCAAACTCCCGAACTGGAACCTCGCGAATAGCTGCTAGCAGACAAACAGGAAAAGCACCCAAGCGGCTTACACTCATGGCAATCAGTCTCTAACAGCATACAGTAAATCCCCCCCAAAGACGAGACAAGGCTCCGTGTTGATGGTCAAGCAGTGGTCTGTTTAATGAGGGCTCCCTGCCCAGTATTTATGCAGGTCTCCCACCTGGTGGACACTCCCCTAGGGGACCAAATGGGAGACTGTGACAAAAGACAGACAAGTAGACAAATAGGACACACAGTCACAATTTATTCCCACAATGCATCCTGGCTTCCTCTCCTCTGCCTTGGAGATAATTGAGAAGTAATTCAATTATCTCCTAAGACAAAGGCAAATCGCCATTATGCACGTGGGGATACTAAAACATGAATTACTGTTAAAATACACTATGTAGGACATGTTACATTAAAACCATACATTTAACATATCCCCAGATAGCTCAGGTCTGAGCGCACATTATTAAGCGAATGGCGCTCAGACCACACGAATACAGTGCAATCGCCATGGAGCCAAAGTCTTTCCCATAGTCTTTCATTATACTAATGGGCTCCATGGCATAGCTATCTGGGGTATCACCGCTCAAACAGGGCAAGCACCAAATGACCCGGCTTTCTTGTCTTTGCAGGGGAAAATAAAGCCTTTTAACATGGGGCCATAATCCAAAGGCAACAGGCGAGCAACCAGGCTTCTCCAATGCAATGTGGCGAGATTGGTCTTGTCACACCTGTAGTTGGCTTATCCTCACCTATCGCATCCTACAACACTACGTCTATGAAAGGATTGGAGTGCTTTATCAATAGGTCGGTTCATTTATACCAGGGGTGCCTAAAAGGTAAATCCCCAGATGTTCTAAAACTACAGCTTCCATGATGCTTTGCCATTGTAAAGACATTCTAAAGACATGCAATGAATCATGAGAGTTGTAGTTCTACACCATCTGGGGAGCTCTCTTTTGGGCACCGCTGATTTATATCCTTTTACAGGCCGTTTGCTGCAAACTGGCATGCACATAAAGATGATAGTGACAATATAGTATAACTAGATCAGGTCCTATAAAACATTGGTTTGTTAGGTATACTAATTTATAAAATGCTGGTCTGGGAAATGAATTCCCCCCGGTTTAATTTACATGTATTTGTGAGGTTTAAAAATAAAACACCTCAATATAAGCTCTGTTCTTTGCACCTGGCAGTCATCTACAGAAGCAGACAGAAACAATGTTTCTATTTCTCCTTCTCATTTGCAATTTGTGCCCTGGCTGTGCCTAGACCTTACTGGATTCTAAAGTCATTTTCTACATCTTAAATTTAAAGAAAATCCTGATAAAATGTTAGTAGCTCAAATTGTGACATTATAGGTGAGTTTGTATAGCTTATTCAACAGTTTAATATCCAGAGAAGTATTCGTTCCTCTTCAAATCTTTTTAAATATTTGTGTCCATAAAATGGGTTAAATCGTGTTATCAAACATAGCTTTTTTTTTTGCTACAATAAGAATTGTGTTGTGTTTCCTTCCTTTGCTATCTAAGCTCCGAAGGCCATATTGACTAATTGGTACTAAGCCTAAAGGTACCTGCTGGATAGTAATTTTCATGCACCTTAAAACATACCTTAAGGCTTAAAACAGTGTACTTAGCAAACTCTGTCTCTTTGTTATTTAATAATGTGCTTTAAATGTAATGAACTGTTTCAAGTGAGTATATAAAACTGCCAGGGAAGGGCTGGAAACTTGTGGCCTGGGGGACAAAAACTATTTAGTGGCATATAGTGCAGTGTTACCAAACCTTCTTTAACATCAGCAGTAGACATAAGTACACAAACAAAATAGATGTGTTGATAGACATTCAAGTTAATTGAATAGAAAGAATAAAGTGCTAAGCACTTGGGCATGTAGATGTGAAAAGTGGTTAGAGAGCAGTCTGGAACAATTGCCATTTGGACATCATTAATCAATAAGGGAAATCTCCCCAACTAGGCAAGCATTTAGTAAAAGAAATTCTGAAGCATTTCCCAGCAAGGGAATGGTATTAATGTATTTAATGCATAAACCTTGGATATCAAGTAAATGAGTAATAGATTCATATATCTTGTATATCGAGCCAATGAGCAATAAATGCATATACCTTGTCAGCTGCGTACATACCGGGGTCACAGGGATAGCCACTGTGACCGGGCCCGTCACTTCAGGGGGCCCGGCTGCCCTGCGGACCCCTGCGACCAGGTACTAGCAAGGTAGACCGCTGGGGCCGCATGTTAAGAGGTCCATCAGGTGGCCCATGCCGTCAGGGCCACCTGATGGACATGGATTGTCAGAGGGCCCAGTCAGCGCTGGGGCACTTTAACAGTGCAACCAGGCCCCCTGCGATTACATCACTACTGGGAGGAAGTGACTGCATGTCACTCCTCCCAGCTAACACACAGATCGCGCAAAAGTAAGCAGGAAGGAAGAGAGAAGCTGAGCCCCCACTGGACCCCAGGGAAAGTAATAAAAGGTAGGAAGAATTTTGTGTATGTGTGTCTCTGTATGTGTATGTATGTGTGTGTGTGTGTCTCTGTATGTGTGTCTGTATGTATCTGTGTCTCTGTATGTGTGTGTGTCTGTATGTATGTGTCTGTGTCTCTGTGTGTGTGTCTCTGTATGTGTGTCTGTATGTATGTGTCTGTGTCTCTATGTGTGTGTGTGTCTCTGTATGTGTGTTTGTATGTATGTCTGTATGTATGTGTCTGTGTCTCTGTATGTGTATAACTGTGTTGCTGTATGTGTGTGCCTGTATGTATGTGTCTGTGTCTCTGTGTGTTTGTGTCTCTGTATGTGTGTCTGTATGTGTGTGTCTCTGTATGTGTGTGTGTGTGTGTGTGTGTATGTATGTGTCTGTGTGTGTCTGTCTGTGTGTCTATATGTATGTATGTATGCATGTATGTATCTGTTGGGGGGTGTCTGTCTGTGTGTATGTGTTTGTGTCTACGTATGTGTCGGGGGGCCCACGGATCAGGGGAGAGAGGGGAGGGAAGGGGAGAGAGGCGAGGGGGGATCATGCCAAAGATCAGTTAATTCAATTTGTATATGATGCCAATGAGCAATATGTACCTCAAAAATGTCAGCCAGTGCCACCTGTGCCCACAATAAAACCTGCCATTTCTCTGCCACCAGCTCAGCTGTCATCTTTATTTTTGCCTCTCTGTGCTATCTCTCTGTCACAAGGTCTCTGTGTGCCACCTCTCTGTGCCATCTCTCTTCCACCAGCCTTTCTGTGCCACCTCTCTGCCCCAGCCTCTCTGTGCCATCTCTCTTCCACCAGTCTCTCTGTGCCACCTCTCTGCCCCAGCCTCTCTGTGCATATCTCTGCCACTATTATCTCTGTGCCACATCTCTGCCCCCAGCCTCTCTGTGCCATCTCTCTGCCATCAGTCTCTCTGTGCCACCTCTCTGCCCCCAGCCTCTCTGTGCATATCTCTGCCACCATTATCTCTGTGCCACCTCTCTGCCCCCAGCCTCTCTGTGCCATCTCTCTGCCACCAGTCTCTCTGTGCCACCCAGTGGTGTATCCCAACCCTTCCACCTGCCCCGCCTCGCCTTCTAAATACACACACACACATTCACTGACAGATATGCATACACTAGCTAACAGAAACACACACTCGCTAACAGACACACACACACACTAACAGACACACTCACTAACAGACACACACACTAAGACACACACTCACTAACAGACACACACACTCACTAACAGACACTTACACACTCACTAACAGACACTTACACACTAACAGACACAGACACTTACACACTAACAGACACACACTCACACACTCACACACTCACACACACACACTCACACTAACAGACACACACACACACACTAACAGACACTTACACACTAACAGACACACACACACTAACAGACAGACACTTACACACTAACAGACACAGATACTTACACACTAACAGACACACACTCACACACACTAACAGACACACACTAACATACACACACTCACAGACACACTCACACTCACTAACAGACACACACTAACAGACATATACACACACTCACTCAAATTAACATATTTATTTATTGATTTAACCACCCCCCCCAGCCTCCTTACCTTTGGGAATGCTGGGGGGGTTCCCTCTCTCCCTGGGGTCCAGTGGCTGCTGGGCGTGCGGGCTGCTGGGCGGGCGGCTGGTGAGGGAGCACTTCCCCTGAGCGGTCTGCTCAGCTCCCTCGCGCGCCGCAGAGTGAGGCTGGGAGCCGGGTTGATGACGTCATA